ATTTGGACCTATAACTGAATTCCCAAGCCCACAATTTTTTTTCTTTTTTGAATATAGCCTTATGACATCTGACTAAAGAACATATCAAAAAATAAAAAAAATTGTGGGCTTGGAATTTGAGATATTTAGCTTTGAAGTTTTGGTTGGATTTGTTTATATACTAATATTGCATTAATTGGTTATTAATTAATAGAGATTGATGAAAATATTTATTGTTGTCAATGTTTTTGAAAAATTAACATTAATAATAATAATACTGAACACAATAGCATATACTGATGTATAGATAAATGCAATGAATACTGTATTAGGTTTTGCACATGTACAATGATATGCAATAATTCTGTTTAAATACATACAATATAAATTCCATCAACATGCTAATGTTTTTTATATTGAAATTGCTGTTGTTGATGTAGATATAGTAGTTAACCTGTAGTAATCATTCAGATGCCAGGATAGTTGCTATTCGAATTTAACATGCTGATCCAAATATCAACAAACTTGTAATGAATGAAGCACTATTTGATATCTAAAACAAAACAAAACTGCTAACTATTTAATTATACCTACCTATTGTAAGTTGATTTAAAATAGGGTTGTAATGGTTATCATTATACATTAGACAGTATATTGGAGAAATAGTATTACCATCATTAACTTTTGTCATTTCAACAATTACATATTTATGAAAATGTTTACTATTGTACTTTGTTGTATTGTAATTGTACGAATTTCTAATTCTTCTAAATCAAAGTCTTCCTCTCCAATCATTTACCAGTTTGCCAAAGTACTAATCCAAATAGAACCTTCCAAGTTCATCCACAAGTAATCTCAATAAATGAAACTTTTACTGAAAATTTACCAACAAAACACCAGTATTTCATTCAAAGAATATTTTATTGAGTAAATGAGTTTCTAGTTCTAAATAAGCAAGTTTAAGCAACCAGCTGACGATTAGAGAACTGAACAGTCTACTGTTGAATTCATAGGGTTTGTATACTTTTCCAATAGTTGACAGTTCACAGATCACAAATATGCACACAAAGAAATGTAACAATTTGGGTAAAGGAAAAGTTCAAATATACTTCCATATTTGTTACTTTTTCTTTATCTTGGAGACCTGCTGCTCCCTATTTTTAGTAGGTTGGAAAGTTGCATAAGATGTAAGAATTTTGGTTGGAGTTGGATTAATTCCAAAACACAAAAATAGACAAAGGTCAACTTTACTGCTACCACAAATGATTAATAATAATTGTTTGTGTAAATGAGTAATAGGGTAAAACTAAATATACTTAATCAGACAAAACAGTATTGTGCATACAATATTGTTGAAAGTGACAATAATCTATATACTCCAAATGTAAGTAAAATAGCACAACTAATGTTCATTGAATATTATGTGTATAATAATTAGGCCTAATATTTCAGTTGTAAATGTATTTTACAACTGACTTTAAAATTATGGAAATAATAGTGTATGCTGTAGTTTAGGCATGTTAAATACAGTACAATGCTCCTTCAATATTGCATTCCATTTCTGAATGGAATGTAACAATTTTGGGTGTATTGTGTCAATGTGTGGGCTTGGTTGTAAGCTTATGTGTACAGTATATGCTAGTAGCCTAAATGTGTACAAACATCCCCCTCCTTTAAGACCTTGCTTCCACAAAAGGTCTTGGGCTTGAAACAATCAATGTATCTCCATTGGGTGTGAATGTAGGATAGGTTTGTAATGGTATTTCTTCTGGGTCAGCTGTTGAAACTGTTGGCAACTTCTCTTTTTTAGACAAAAATTTTGCTAAGTTATTGAAGTGTACTCGTTTCCAGTTTTTCTTCCACATAAACCAAATGAGGATTCCAATTCCTATGATTATTCTTATTGGAAGAAGAATATTGATGATTGTTTTGTAGGTGTTCTAGCCCATGATGAAAACAGATGCTCAGTTTTAGATAAAGCAGCATCAATACCTACATCATTGGCAAAACTAATGTGTTCTTGATGTTTTGTCAAAGTATCCTGAATGTATTCTAAAACTTGTTGAACTTGTTGTTGCTTCTGACCAACATCCTCTTTTATACCAAGTTGTAATAATTCAGTAAGTCTAGCAACCTCTAGTTTTGGTTCTTCAATTTCGTTGTTGATTTTCATTCTGATTGATTTTGCTGCAGCTGTTTTGAATCTGCATCCTTTCTTTGTGTAATAGATAAATGTTTTCCTTGCAGATTGCATTGCATGTTGATTCTGTTCTGCATCTAGTGGGTTTTTTTTAATTTTGAAGAGATGTTGAGTTTGATCACATTCTCCATATCTTATATCTTCTTTTGTTATATGATAAGCATGATGAAGAATTGGATCTACTGAGAATAAAAGATCTTTATATTTGATGAGAAATTCTTTTGAGCACAACCCATTTTTGGTAATAATTGTGGTGTCACAAACTACTTGAACTGATTTTAATTCTGTACAAGCATTCAAAGTTGTTCGATCACCAAGCCATGTACTATGTGTTCCATGTTTAGATCCAAGAATTGTTGGTAGTTGAGGTGCCAATGGTGTAAGTAATGCTACCATCTTGTTTCTCATAATAAATTCTCTGCATTTTTTTAAAAGTTGTGATACTTGTTTGAAAACTGTTTGTAAGTTTTGGAAATTCTTATCAATGTTGTTTAATAAAGCAGATGTTCTTATAGCATTTGCTATGTCAATTGTGTGAAATTTTGGCATTTTTATTCTTTCTGATAGTTTTCTCCTCCATTCATTCTTCATTGGTGTTCTTTGCAAAAGTGTAAATTTCCCATTTATTTTATGTGTTTGAAATTGTTTATCTCTTGGACTTTGATACCAGGTTTCCAGTTTTGGTAGGGGATTTAAACTAACTTTCTTTGTCTTGAGTTCAAAATCATTAGCTTTTGCTGGTCTAGCAGGTTCCAGTTTAGTTGTTTTTAACATTTTCAGTATGTATTTGTTGTTAATATCCCATCTGTCAGGTGAAATTATTTTGCTTACATGCCAGGTCCTAACCAATGGTGTTACATGATTTTTAATCAGCATATGATAAGTCATGTCACCATCTCTATACCAATCATTATAGGTTAGTATATTTTGTATTTCTGTTTCATTAGCTTTTCTTACAGTTGATTTCTTTCCTTCATAGTTCTGCAATTTCTTTGTTTGAAATAATTTTATATTTTGTATCCTCCATTATTCTGTTATCAGCATAATTTAAAGTTGTAAGATCAGTTCTTAATAAATTATATTCCTTTTGGGATACTAAAATTTTGGTTCCAGGGCCACCATATCCTCTAATGTATCTATCTTGATAAGGTAAATCCATTATTGTGTAGTTGGGACATGAAAAGTATCCTCCTAGTTTAATACATTCCACATTGTAGGATACTGCTTTCCATGGTGATACATGACCTTTGACCATTTCAACCCAAGCTTTGATAAATGTATGAAAGGAGATGTATTTCTACAGCTTGTCAGTCTCTAATCTGTAAACATAGACTAAACTGTATTTTTAGATTGGAAACTCATGTTACTTAATACATATTCTATGGGCAAACTCTGTTGGTATTTTAATACATTTGTATTATTTAAAACTAAATTCACTCTAAAGGTTAATATTTTATGGACATATTTGATGTTCTATTTAGACCAGTACTTTTACAAATTAGTAAATGATTGGAAAGGACAATTACTGTTGTGAAGAGCCTGAAATTCCCACAATTACAATGCAACAAAGTACATAACTAGTAGTTGTAGGATTTCTCCTGAATGCTTTCAAGAAGATATTAGAGCCTTTAACTTATGCTTTAAATTTAAAGTCTACAGACTCTAAACTATTTCTTGAATTTTACAAAAAAAGAAATAAGAGAATATAGTAAGGGAACAGACAGAAAACATCCCAAAGTGAGGTTTTTGAAAGCAACATTTCAGATTGAAAAATGGTTAGAAGGAGTAAAGCAGCTATTGATTTATAGTTAGGGGGCTTCTGTCTAACCTTTAGGAGTAGTCAAAAAGGTTAGAGAGAGACAAAGACCAGGTTAGAGTTAGGTAACCATGCATTTAGGCTTGTTTTCTGTTGTATCCTATAGTTAGTGCTCAACTCCATGATTATATTATGTTTCAATCCTAAAGAACAATGAGATAAGTCAGAATATTCCCTTAAGCTAAACTTTAATGTTAGCTTATGGTTGACCTTAAGATTTTGTCATTATAAAAGATTTATCAGGAATTCGTGCACAAGTTACAAAGCCATTAAGGGAAGTATTAAAAGTTGATTAGAAAAGTGAAAAACTACATGGACAAGAGATGCAGAAGAAGGTCATCAAACAATGACAGATTGGACTACTTAACTACCAATAATACAATATTTTAGAACAGAATACATTTTTTCTTTTATTTCATATCCTTCATTTACACTTTATAGATAACATCAAAGTAGGTCATACTTTGTAATGAGAAACTGTCTGTAGTTTACAAGTTTTTCAAAGATTGCTGACTCTAATACAGTTGATAATAAATATCCTGGTGGCATTACACTTATGACGAGTCCTGGATATTGGTCTTTGTTACTAATTTAATCTTTTTTTAGAAATCTATTGTGTGAAGAGTTCAGAATGTGGAATGAAAATGTTTACATTAAACAATGATAGATATGATCAATTGATGGACTTGTCTATAGCAAATTTTGTAGATCTTCCATTAGTTATATATTATATCTGGTACTGCTCCTGTTTCGCCAATTTATGCCCTGGTACTTTGTGCTATTGCTGATTTTTTCTCCTTGAAATATAAAGCAGCTTCTGATAGAGATTGCTAGAAAGAGGACAAACCACTCAACAACAAAGGGAGGAGAATGGTATAACAATTGTTTTCTAATCAATGTCCTATCAGTGAAGAATAATTCTATATCTGCAACACTTAAAAAATGAAAGTTATGAATGAATCATTTATTATTTAAGTATATAAGGAGTAACTATTTGAATATTTCATTTAAATAATAAAAATGACCTACAGAGGAAGAATAATATTTTTTTTACCAATAATTTTCTTTAAAGGTTTGTGTTTGTTACAAAAAACAATTAGACAAGTTGAGGATGAAGATTTATTTATAATAATATTAACAAGCAATCTCTTTTTTACAGTTACATTAAGTTGCTTGAATGGTTGGACAGAGTTTAATGAATTTTGCTATTTGTTGTCACATGATGAGACTCATTGGCTTGCAGCAGAAGATGCTTGTAACGAGTTTGGTGGAAATTTAATGAGTATCCTAAATAAAGAGGAAAATGACTTTACTAATAGACTTTTAAGAGTTAGAGATTGTTGAAATTTAAGTATTATGAATGAAATCACTGATTTTTTCCAGAATGAAAATCAGTATGGAAAAAAATTCTATATTGGACTTAACAAATTGCACAAAAGAGATTATGAGTTGCTATTAAATAAATAGGGCAAAAATTCCCAATTAAATTATTACTTTTAACAAACAGGTGGTCTGATGGTTCACCTCTAAATTATACAAGATATACAAGTAGCCCTTTTCATTTTTGTGGTGCATTTGTAAAACACAGTCAGAATAAAAAACAATTTTTTAACAAAATAACAAATAGCATTTTCAGAGTCCTACTGGTCTCTAACAAATTGTGGAGAAAAGGAAAAATACATTTGTAAAGTAAAGAAAGGAGTTACACCTTCTCCTAAACCAACTTCAGTAACTCCAGTTCCCACAGGCCATTGTCCCTTAGGCTGGTTAGAATCCTTAAAAAAATGCTTCAAAATATACTTCTTGGATGAAATAAATGGGCTATCATTCATTGAAGTAAGAAATAGGTGTATGTCTTTGAATGTAATGTCTAATCTGGCAACAATCAATAGTCAGGAGGAAAATTCTTTTATTGTCTCAAAAACGATTAATACACAATATGGAAATGGGTTATGGTTCGGCTTGCTCAGAGATGATAAACATTCACCTTGGCTCTGGACTGACAATTCTCCAAAAACAGTAAATGACTACAATAATTTTTATACAAGATACCCAAAAGAAGTATGTATTTAAAACTAGTAGCTGTTTTAATAATAATTTTAACACTCTATAGAACAATGCTTACCTGTCTACTCATGCAGATGCTTTTAGATCAGGGAAATGGATGGCAGATACCTATTCCACAAATAAGAAGGGCTATGTGTGTAGTATGAGCAAACGTATGTATATACGATTTATCTGGGAAGGAGGGGACAAATCTCCCTTAAAAGTAAAATTATAGGACTATGTTTTCCTGGGGTATTTTTAGAGTTGGGAGGATAGAAATCACATATTTCTTAAGTTTAATAAATCATCTCTATTCAGGTAACATTGATTTCATATCCACAACTCCACTAAAGAAAACAATATGTCAGAAAGGAGAATTTCTTGGAGATGGTTGTTATAGGACACAAAATGAAAAGAAAACCTGGAAAGAGGCTTTAAATTCTTGCAAAAATCAAATATAATATTTCATTTTGTTTTTGTATTGAAATTCAAATTGAATCTTTCTTTAAACAGAAAATGAATATGGCTTCTATTCATTCTCCTGAATTGAATGAAGGATTGTGTTATCATGTGATGAATACAGAAAACTACTATTGGATTGGAATGAATAGGTTTAATGATACAGATGCATTTAAATGGAGTGATCATTCTACAGTTGTTTTTACAAAGTGGATGGAATTTCCCAAAAATGATAAGAATTGTGCTGCTATTTCATCAAAAGGGTTATGGCATGGATTTCCTTGTAATACACAGTTGGAAAGTATTTGTAAAATACTGTATGGCTCTGCACTTACAACTCCTTCACAAGTTAGCGGACTATGTCCAAGTCCAACTAAAGGAGAGTGGATCAGTCATGGTAGCTATTGCTACATATTTTCAAAAGATACAGCATTCACAGCTCAAGAAGCACTACAGAAATGTATTAGAAAAAGTTCTGCTAATGCCAGACTGGTTAGTATTCAAGATTTTTCAGAACAAGTTTGGCTAACTTTTATGCTGAGGAGGATAGAACAGCACAGTACTCACTGGATAGGTCTGACTCGTCAATCACCTGATCATTCATTCACCTGGATGGATGACAGTCCTGTCACTTTTGAATATTGGAAAAAATATGACACTAGTGCTGGAAATTGTGTTGTCCTTTCTGTTCAAGATAGTGAAAAAGCAACTGGTTTCTGGAGTAAAAGATTATGCTCAAATTCAAACAAACTTCCACCAAAATACATATGTAAAGTTCCAAAAATTCCATTGCCAAGTACTCCTGCCCCAGTTAAAGGAAAATGTCCTCCACAACTTTCGAATAATGATGTTTGGGAATTATTTGGAAATAAATGCTTTCTATTTCGAAGAGGCCAATTTGCAGATTATCAACAAGCAGCACAAGTTTGTAGTAGAGTAAATGGAACCTTAGCAGAGATTAGATCATTTGACGAAAATTTCTTTATGGAAGAATATGCCAAAAAGCATTTCCCTTCTTTTATGAAAGGTTTATGGATTGGTTTAAGCAAAACAAATACTAGTAATTACATTTGGCAAAATGGACATAAACTAGATTATGAATATTGGTATAATTTGGATGACAAGAAGGGAAACTGTGTTTCATTGAATACATCTCTAAATGGTCACTGGACAAGTCATAGTTGCTATAGAAACTACCTTCCCTTTGTATGCCAAGCAGATATGATCAAAGGTATATATATATATCCTCTTTATTTATTTTGATTGAAAAAACACACAATTCTTTTCCTATTTATCTATAAAAACAGATTCTTCTGGTAGGACAATTGGTGCAAAGGTAGGACTTGGTCTAGGTATAGCAATTGCACTTTGCGTTCTTATTGGAATATTTGGTGGTGCAATTTATAAATGGCAAAGTTCCAGAGAACCACCAACGAAAACATTTCACAATAGAGGAAGCAGTTTTGCTAGTACAAATGAAGTGTCCAAATATTTCAAGGAAACAACTGCATAGAATAATATAAAAAAAGATGTATATTATCACTATTTTACAATACTCTTAATTTTATAAGCATTTTTTTATATTTGTTTTTTGACCTAAACCATTTTCTTCTATTAGTTTAGAGCTAAAGGTATGTGATATGTCATGTGATGGATGATAAGTTATGAAATGAACCTTAAGTATGACCAAGAAGGTCTGTGTTAGGCCACATGTTATTGTATTTCCTTGCATCAGTTTGTAGTAAGTTATGTATAATAGTAGTATAGAATAAGAATAGAATAGAACGAAAGTTGTACAACTTCCCCCTTCTTTGTGAAGATGAGTCTCTTCAACTTGGTTTGAGTAGGATCACAGGAGGTGGCTCCTGTTTCTCAGATTAGCAATTTCCAGCTCTGGTTCAGACAGTTGATTATTGATCTTTAACTGCATTGATTTTGCAGATACAGTGTGAAATTGGCATCCTTTTTCAGAATAATAAACATACATTTTGTCTTTCATTGTTTGAGTTCTTACAGGGCTCAGAGGGCTATGAGTTGTTTTGTAGAAAAGCTTCTTTGTTTTGCAGTCATTATAGGTAATTTGTTCCAAATTAACTTGCTGTAGAACATGAGTAACAGGTTCTACCTGAAAGAGAAGGTTATTCATTGCAACAATTAAGAATTGGGAACATTTGTTATCCTTCTGTATTATTGCTAAGTCACAAACTACTTCTGTGGAAGCTATTGGTGAGCATTGCTTAACTATTGCTAGTTCTCCCATTTGACTACTGTGCATACCCAACTGGTCTGTCAATACAGTGGTCAGCTGAGGGTCCAGGTTTGCAAGTAATGCAATCATTCTACTTCGTTGTATCAATTGATTGCATAGTAGTCCTGATAATTGCTCAGTGAACTGTTTCAAATTCTTAAAATTAGAGTCAATTCCCTGTAGCAAAGCAGATGTTTGGGCAGCTTCTCTTATTTGAAGTGGGAATTTATAGTGGGACTTTTTTTACTCCTCTTAGTCTTGCTTCTTTCTTCATCTGTTTTTTTGCAATTCTCATTTGTAAAGCATAGTAGCTTCCTTCCTGACTGAGTGTAAACTCCCTTGCCCTTGGTCCTCTGTACCATACACCTATTGTAGGTAATATTTTCCTTTTAATTCTTTTCTCACTATACACAAACTTTGAAATTGTCACTGACTGTCTTGCTGCCCTTGTCCAGTTTACTGCTTTTAACATTTCTTCAATATAGTAGTTATCTAACTCCCAATGTGATGGACTAATAGGTTGCTGCAAGTGATAGGTCACAATTTCTCTCAATTTACCCTTAGCTCTCATTAATTTATACTTTGTGTTAGTTTCTCTATACCATTCATTAAGGCTGGGTAAAAGATTGCTACATTTATATAATGTGAGTTGTTCTTTTACTTTATTGGGATAGTTTAATAATCATTTTTCTTCAATTTCTCCAATCCTATGATAGTGTAATGCTTGGTATAGGTGTTCACTGGCTGTTTCCAATATCAGATTCCTTTCTTCTAATGGCACTAGTACTTTGGTTCCAGGGCCACCAATACCATCAATGAATTTGTCATGGTAAGGGATGTCTAGAATAGAATACCCTGGGCAAGAATAGTGACCAGCAAATTTTATACAGCTAACTTGGTTACCAATTTTCTTCCATGGTGATTGTTGTCCAATAGTATAATTGTTTTTAAGGTTTCTTAAGACAATAATAGCTTCTTCTGTTTCACAGTATGACTGCCCTGGAAGACAGTCTTCCAGGTAGTCAAGATTGGTAGTAATTTTCATATTTGGAGGCTGCCAATATGCTTTTCCAAACTGAATGATGGTGGTATATTCTAGGACTTCTGTAGTTGTTGGCCATGAATATGCTTCTGGGAATTTATCTCTGTGGATCCAAGTGTTGCTTTTAACAGTTAAGGCTTTTCCTTGGAAAGATTTTTTGTCTTTAACCATCTGTCTGCAATGTTCAGGTGTTAGTTTGATAATTGAATCAACAATTCTCCTCTTCTTTGCTCCAAAGAAATAATATGTGTAAAAGTTAGTTGTAAGATACACTTTACATTTTACTGCCCTTGTTTCAATTTCATGTAACTTCAATTCATAGATGTCAGCTGTTATTGTTTTTGTTTGCTGAGCTTCTATGCTACAAACAGGTTCCTCTGCTAGATCAAATGCCTGAGTAGGTAGTTGATTAGAACAGAAATATAAGGGTGGCTTAAATGTTAAAGTTATGTTTGCACTTGTAACAGCAGCACCTTGGTACAATGATTTTGGGACAGTGCTTGGACTACTGCAGTTGAAAATCATTGTAAGTATCAACCATAATGGTAACAATGACATTGGTTTCCTGCTAGTTTGTCTTATATTGGTTCTTGTTTCATCATCAGAAGTTTCTTGTTTTGATTCAACTGCTACAGTTATTCCATCTTCCAATTCTATGGATTGGGTCTTCATTTCCATTTCTTCAGGGCTACTTCCAGTCTCATCTGTTACTGAATCTATAGTAATAATTGACTCACTATCTGAAATATTTGTAATTTCAGTCTCTTCTTTGGATGAATCAAAAAGAATGATTGACTCATTGTCAGGACTAGTCAGGATACTTATTTCTTCTTGCATTGAATTTACAGCATAACTATCAGATTCTCAACATAGACTACCTTCCTTCTTTCTTACAAAAACAATTGGTAAAGCCCAGTTACTCTTGCTTGGTTAAATAACTTTGCTTTTTACTAATTCAACTATTTGTTGCTTGCACTCTTCTTGTTTTTGAGGAGGCATTCTATATGGCTTTTGTCTATATGGGGTTGAACCTGGTTGCAAAGTAATTTCCAGGGCTGGAACATCCAGATTTTCAATGTCAAATCTGTCATCTGCAATAGTATCTTGATATTTTTCCAGAATTTTTGTGACTTTTAGTTCCAGCTCTGAATTTTCCTGTTCAACATTTGTCTGAAGAGTATGTATTTGACTCTCAGTTTTCTTTGTGCTGGAAGGAACTGGGTGAAGTCCTTTAAAGGATAAATGTTGAGTTCCAAGTGGATAATTCTTTTCTATAATTGACTGCAGTATAATCTGTCTTTTGTAAAAGTCAAGAGTTGCTCCAGTCTGTTGCAGAAAATTACAACCAATAATACACTTTTGTGTTATGGTTTTGTTCATTAGGAAGCTTTGCTTAATAATTTTTCCATTGATGTGTAGTTTTAAGATAATTTCGCCATATATTTCAATGCTGTTGCCTGAAGCATCTCTAGCATTTTTCACAGTTGGCTCTGGAAAGGATGCTTTTCCTTGAATTTGTTTTAATACTGTTTTTGAAATAAAAGACCTGTCACTACCAGAGTTTATTAAGGCATCAAATTTGAAGCCAGTATTAGTTTCAAATTGTCCAATAAAAGTTGAAGAATTTCTCTCAGTTTGTTTACTTTGTAAAAACTGACATATAGATTCTTCACTATCAGAAAAACAGAGAATATCTTGTACTTCATCATTTTCTGATGAACTGTCATTTTCCAGTGTTTCCAATTTTTGTAGCTTAGGTTCCTCCTTCAGGATCAACTTGGCTTGTTGATTTTTCTTATAATACCTATTCATAGGGGGTGCATACTTTTGGAATTTCTGGCTTTGCCACTTTTCTTTAGCAGCCTTCCTGTAGTCAGGTGGATGCTGTCTATTCCAAAAACTTGGGGTTTCTGTTGAAGCATCTTTGTTAATCACTTTGGTCTTTTTTTGTTCCTTTGTTTCCAACTTAGACACCATTGTGATTGATTTTCTCTGGTTTAACTTTAATGAAATTTCTGCTTATTTAGCAGCATCATATAATTCTGCCAATGTTTGACATCTTGGATGCAGAGTGTTGACCAACTGCTGGGCCAGTTAAGTAATCTAAAAGATTTGCTTTCATACTATGTTCACCAACCCAACCTTAAGCATTGCATGCTTGATAAAAGTTTTCCTTGAATTTTGAACATTCCTTGCTACCATCATATAACCTGAGGATAGCTCTTTGAGGGCAGTCCCAAGCAGCTCTCAATGTTTGAATTAGGGTTGTAATATCCACATTGGGATTTTGTACTGGGTGAGGTGTTACATTTTCAGAGCCTGGAGGAATTGTAATATTATTTCTTTTCATTTCATATACCAATCTATCATAGTCCTCAATTAGTCTCTGTTGTCTTTCTGACATCCCTGCTGGTTGAATTGTGATTGTTGGAGTTGTTGGGTTAGAAGGATTAGAGTCTGTGACTGCTCCAGTGGTATTTCCATTACCTCCTTCTGCCATATTTCCTTTTCTTCCAAAAGTTTAAATAAACCAAATTAGAAAATCCTGTCGACTGCACCAAATTTGTACTGCTTTGGTCTTGCCAATTTATGCATTTGCAACTTATAACAGTACTGGTTCTACTTGAACGTTTAAACAAAGTCTTTAAATTAAAGTGGTTTATTGAAAATAATACTTAAGCAAGTAACAATATGAAAGTTCAATAGCAGAGTAAGTAGTGGGTAACAGTAGGTTGCCAAGTTGCCAAACTAGTGTCCAATGTTGAGGAAGTAGAAAGATTCCAGGTGATCCTCCCAGGTTGAGGTTAGCCAATTGGAGTGAAGCAGTGAGGAGTTATATACTTGAAGACTATTCTCTAGTGTCCAATCACCACTTCACGACTGTCAAACTGTCTAGTTTACATTTATCTTTAGTAACAGGATGTTACAAGGTTCAACATTTAGTAGGGCTAATTCAATTATTACTTGACCACACCTTGGCTAAACTAATTAAATGGTATCTTGGTCACACCCTAGGCAAGCTAATTTAATTATAACTTGGCCAAAGCTTAATTGGTACTTAAGGATGAACCTTAAGTATGAAAAACCAATGTCTGTGTTAGGCCACATGTTATTGTATTCCCTTGCGTAGGTTTTAAGTAAGTTATAGATAATAGTATAAGAATAAAATAGAACGAAAGTTGTACAACATCTTGAAATCCTAGGCTAGCACTCCTCAGGTGTGGTTTGCACTTCCTTCCCATCTCCTCCATAGCTTCACAGCCTTTGTTCCAAACAGTATTTTTGAAGTCATTCCATACTGGGGTGTCCTCACCATCAATTGGAGGATCTTCCTTAGGTATACTATTCTCAGTTTGACTCACTTTAGCAAAGGGGTTTACCCTGTAAGTAAAGGGACCCACATCTTTGTGTTTCACTAGTCTATGGAGAAAGGATGCTAACCCCTCCTTCCAATTCCTAGTGAGCCACTGTTTATTGGTGGATTTGTTACTGACACAAATGTATTTAAGACCCTTATTAAGGATCTTGATGACTGGATCAGGAACAATCCAATCTGAATAGTTTAAAACCAAACTATCTACATTACTACCAGAATAACTAACATTGTTAACTAACAAATGAACTGACTTATTTACAAGGTTTTCAATAGATTGTGCCAAGTTATCTATTTTGGCAGAGGTTTTCCCCTTTCCTGATCTTTTAAATTCCTCCTGCCTGTCTTTTTAGAGTTGCCTGAGGAGGACTCTGAGAGAGATCTGACAGGTCTGCTGGTTGCTGCTTGTGACCTGGTCTGGATTTGCACTTTTTCCACTGCAGGGGTGGTATCCCCTTGATTTGTGGGTGGGGTGCTGTTTCCATTTCCAAGTCCAGCTACTGCACTCTTAAGCAGATCCATCATCTCTCCCTTAAATTTATTAAGTTCCTCTCCCAAGCTCTCTTTGACAATTTTCTGAACATCTACCACTGTCTGAGGAGGAGGTGTTGGAGTGGGTTGGGGGTTTGGTTGATTTGTGGAGGAAGAAACAGGAATGGTATGTTTACCTTTCCTTTTCTTGGCTTTTTTCTTCTTAGCCTTTCCACCCTCTTTTTTCTCCTCCTCTCCCCCTCCCTCCTGACTGCTCACTCTTCTCCTTTTCCTGGTAACTGGTATCTCAACATATGGAAGATTGAGCTCCTTTAGAATTTCCTTCCAAGTGTCTACCTGGAATCTATTCCTGAACCTCATCTTACAATATTTGAGAGCCAGTTCTATCAGGGTTTGTAACTCTCCCTCTATTGAGGATGAGAGAGCTTTCACAGAGTTGTGGGCAGTCTCACCTCTGACTTTGTACTCCTGCAGGAGCTGCTCCTTTATTGTATTGGCAAACTCTTTACCCTGTTGGACAAGAATTTCCTGTCTTTCCTTGGGTAAGGGCCCACCTGCAGGGTGGATGTCCTTGAGGAATCCATCAACCTTCCTTTGGAAGGGGTTTTCATTGGCCATACATTTAGGATGATGTTTCATCCTGTATAGACCATATATGGAGTTAACCAGTTGTTTGTTTACTCCATTTAACTTGCCTTTATAGGTTTTGCTAGTGTTGCCACTAGTACTTGGTTGGTTTTGGTTGGAGGCAGGGTTAGCATCACCACCCTCTGCCATGCCTACAGGTTCAGGCTGGGTTAGGTCTTGGGGTTAGGGATTAGCACCACCAGTAAAGGCTGGTAATCCCCTTTCTTGTGCACACACTCTATAGGCAGTATAAGGCCAAGGGTTAGTGTGGCTATTAGGAACTACTATCTTAAGTAGCAGTTCCTAGCCTAAGCTATTCACTGTATCTCCAACAACACCAGATACAAATTCTCAACAAATGTGAAGAGAGCCTGTATCACAATTAACTATCTACTCACTAGTAAAACACTCACTATATTTCGGAGGTATTCCTCCTTCTTCAGGTGAGTTTAGGAAAAATGATATTAGTTTGCCACCAGACTGATCTTCTGGAAGGCCTGCAAACTTGAATATTTCACTGAATTAATTTATAAATTGATCAACTTTAATTGAAATTAATTTAATTGAATGACAAATATGCTTTTGCCATCAATTTTAGATTTTATTCATAAATTAGTAGTATTGTATACACAATCCTACTATACATAACATATATATTCATCAGATATCTTCCCTTCTTATATACTCATGCTAAAATTATTTAAAACCAATTATTACTATTAGAGTAGTAACTAAAAACAGTCAAATATATAATCCTTGTGTTTTCTTGATTGTTGGACTTGTCCTATTAAAATTGTTACATCTTATGCAACTCTTCAACCTTCAAAATTCAACTATTATTTGGAAGAAGAAAACAATAAGAACATGACCATATTTAGAACTTTTCTTTGTCTTAAAATGTTACTTTTGTTTTTGTGAACATTGAAATTGGTCAACTATCAACTCTTAAAAGAGTATATAAACCCTACGAAATTAACAGTTGATAGTTCAGTTCTCTAACTGATAGCTAGTTGTTTAAACTTGCTTATTTAGAACTAGAAACTCATTTTTACTCAATACATATTCTTTGGACAAAATACTGGTATTTTGTTGATTAATTTCTACTGAAATTACATTTATTAAACTACTTGTGGATGAACTTGAAAGGTTCTATTTGGACCAGTACTTTGGTAAATTGGTAAATGATTGGAAAGGACCAAATCAGTGGTGATGAACCAGAAATTCCTACAATTACTATACAACAAAGTACAGTAATAATATAAACAATCCTGTTCATCTTCACCATTAGGGCAATCATTAACATTATCACAGACAGCAGAGACACTGATACAAAATTTATGTACATTACATTGGTACGTGAATTGGGGGCACTGGTAAAATGTACTTGAATTAATGTGATACTGGAATAGATGAAAGCCTATAAGTGCAAGAAAATATATTTGTCTGAAAATGAACACTCATAGATTAGTAAGAATGCCTATGCTTATAAACATCTGTGAAAACAATTGGAAAATATTTTGCAGAAACCAAATTATCATCCAATGTCTGTTGTAACCCCTACAAAACTCTAATTTATCCCAACTCCTTGTTCCCTAAAAATTCTGAAACAAACCATCTTCAATACTGTTATTCTAACTCTGCAATTTTCATGACCAGTTTTCCCATTCCCTTTAATCAGTATTTTCTTGCATAGGCGTTTTATTACAATTCCTTTCTTAACATTAATAGAGCAATCGTTTTCATTCGATATGCACAACAACGAATTGTTTTTAATCAATAACTCTTCATGCCATGTCTTTGGCTTATTTAGAAAGTAATTATTCTCTATGGTTAATTTTGGGAAAAAAGGATTTATAGCTAACAAAAACCACACTTTTGAAGGCATGCTGCATAACTGTTTGTCACACACCAACCTGATAGTTCTCTTAGAGAACATTTGTTCTCAACCCTACTTAGAAGTGCTTCAACCCGTGTTGTCCCAATCATCCCACACACTCTAAGGAGTATGGGTAATCAATTTTAGAGAAGCTTATTATATTATAAAACTAAGACACTTCAACAGTTGCAGGTAGCAGTAATGCTGAGTATTCATAAGAGCGTCTCTTCCAAAACTGTTTGTAATGGTATCTTGCATACTATTCTAATAGTCCTATAACTACTGGACAAACATAAAAGTAAATAGAACCAATGGTAAAAGTACAATTCTAGTAAAGTTTAACTAACAAACAAACAAACAAATTCATACTTGGTATCATCTGACAAATGAAATACTTGACACTTTTTGTTGAGCAAGGAACATTTGAGTACTGTATCTCTGGAGCAATTTTCTGTCTGTTAATCCATCTTTCCGCAATAAAAATGCATTTGAAGCAAAAATTTTCCCTTTTTCTGATAGTACTCTCAGGTGTAATGTTATATATAAGCTCTCTTTGAAAATATTCCGATTCCTATTCAAAACAGAAAATTATTCATTTTTCTTTGAACAAGAGGTAGAGTAATGGCGAATTATGTTAATGGAAAGGAAAATGTGCATAAATGCATAGTCTCTATAACCAAATAATGAATCCAGCAGGGTTATCATTGTGTAATGTACCAACATTTCTGTATAATTGATCAAACAATTCAATAGGACGATTGGTAGGTGTCAATTCATTTACTACTGGTAGTTGTTTACTTTTCAAACTATTAAAACTTTAAGGTTGAAAAAAAACAAGACAAACCTGAAATTATTTCAATTGGAAAATATTGATATTTCTCTATATATAATCTTGAAAAATACTGCATAATTTCAATTCTGTACTGCAATAAATCATCCCATGTTGTTAAATTCCTTTTGTTGCAATACTCATTAACAGCCCTTGGGGATTTCAAATTTCCATTGCCAAAGATAGAATAGCATACATCACCAATAATTATTGCATCATCTTCTGTGCAATCTGAACATTTACATGAAAGATTTTTGAAAACAATGGTTTTTATTGAAGTAAAAAAACCTTGAATATTCTCATTTGAACATTTAATTGCAAACATACTTTCAACATTATTTTGTATGAATCTATTTTTTGAACAGAAAATGAATTGTAATAAAAAGAGAATTTTTATTTGACAGAAAACATCTGCAAAATTGTGCTTTTACCCTAAACCTAATCCAACCCTTGTTCTTTGACCAACTCCTTCTTGATTACTAATAGCTCTCACATAGGACAAACAAACAACCCTCTAACCAGTTTTCAACTCAAAATCTCGATTGAGCGTGTTTTCTGTCAACCCCTACATATTGAAAATACTAGTTTAGTAACTCACACAACAAATTCTGTTCTACACTGCGTCAACAGAGAATAACTCTTTCTACATTGTAAACCAGTCATTCTCATGTCTACTGGTCTTTTCATTGGTATAAGTGTACCATGAGGAAATCCAAAATGTTGACAAATAAGTTGAACTTGAAAACTTTTCATAGATATCGATGAAATTTGAAGCCAAATTTCATGAAATCTCATTTCTAAATCTTTAATAATGACATCATTTGTGTCCATTTTTGGACTTTTTGCATAAACAATTTCATCTTTATTGGTAACAAATCGAAAATCTTGAACGTCTATAATTGGAAGAGAAAATTAGGGAAAAGAAATAAATTATAGAGGAGAGGGAGATGATGATAGATGAACAGAGTTAAGTTGTAGATAGAAGAAGCTCTTTCTATTCTAATAGTAAAGACTGATTAGTGAAAATAGAAACTAGTACCAAAAACATTAAAGTATCTAGATATGTATTTTGGTGATAATTACCATGCAATACCTCATTGTATGTACAAATAAATGTCAAATTGAAATATTTTATTCCAGTTGCATAAAAATTAACTGCAAAACAATCAAAAACATCATTGTTTTCTCAAGTTTTGCAGTATAATTTTACTGATTTTGAGGAAAATGTTGCATAAGCACAAAATGGATAAGTAGAATTTTGGCAATTAAATCTTTCTTCTTTCAAACAATCAGTGTTGTTCTTTATTTCATTAATTGAGATTTTATTATAAATGACATGTTTAGTGTATTTTGAACATGTATAATCAAGAATTATTTGCCATTCAATACTTTTAGCATTTAAAGAGTATGCTAAAATATTCAAGTGAGCTGAAACATATGATATCTGTTCAATTTTCTCAGTGTCTTTTCTTTTCATATAGGCAACAAAGTCAAATTGTTTAAAAAGATCTAAAGTAAAATTTAAATAGAGAAACTCTGTTGTTTTAATTTAAACAAACTTTTATTTTCTAAAAAGTAGTCAACAATTTCACATTTTATTACAGTTTTATTTCTTCTTTTTCCAATAGGCATAATCTTGTAGCGTGGAGACATACTATCAATATATAACTTTTCATCATTTAGCAAAATTTCTCCATTTAACAACAACACACTCCATTCACAAAAGTTTTTTTTAAAACTTTTCATAATTCTATAATTGATTTTGTCTCTTCTAAAAACTGGGGTGAAATTAGTTTGATTTGCAACAGCAAATATATCTAGAGAGGGCAAATGATTAATTATTAATTTATTAAATATCAAATCAAGTAAATTCAACTCAACAATCTCCTATTTTCAAGCATTTAATGCATAAGAATGTTTTTGGAATTTTGACATTTAACTGCTCAAAATCCTTCAGAATATATTTTCCATTATAGTTTACATATGCTTTTTCATCTGGTGTGTTGTTGGACAAATTTAAAATTAATGGTTTAGTGACTGTGCAGTACAGGTTTTTTTTTAGGACAAAGAGAAAGTGTATATCCAAACTAAGGGTTACAATTCTCTGCTATCCTTTAAAGCTGTGCATATTATGAATTTTCTTACCATGTTTGTCATCCAAACAAGTTGCCATTTCAGAATACAAGTCATTGTAGCCATTTATTTGACATAGATATGTTAAATTATAGTTACTGCAGCCATCTAAGAGTATTGGATAATACTTTTGTGATTGATTATGAAAAATTAATGCTATGTTTATATGAAAAAAGTCTATTTCCTTTAAAACTTTTAGTGTTATTTGAAATGAGAGACAGAAGCCTACAAGTGTAGACAATGAGTAGGCCAAAAACATTGAGTTTTACTGAATGCTCAAAATACAAATGCTAAAAGAGAGGGAAAGAGAGAG